TTTGGACTGATAGTGCAGGAACCGGTCGGCGGCCTCGAAACCGGCTTCGTCTGCAACGAGAAGAACTTTGAAACGCTTATTAATAAGTATTTCGATATCCTTCACGTTGTTGAGTGCGCCGATGACGTCGCCGTGCTGCAGCTTGAAGTCGATATGCTTCAGGTACGCTTCGATGGCAGTGAAGACCTCGGTCTGGTCGCATACGCCCTTGCGCATGAAGGTAGGACCTGCGGGCATGGGGCCAAGGGGGGGAAGAAGGGGGGCGGGTGCGAGGATGCGACGACGAGCAATGGTGGTGGGGGCCTCACCGTCGTCATTTTCAGAGTCGTCGCTGTCGTCGGGGTTGTCAGCGGGTGCGGGAGTTGGTGCCGGGGGCTGGTCGTCGGCGCGGGGAGCCTTGGGCGCACGAGGAGGGTTAGCCATTTCTTTCTTTTTTGTGGAAATTTATCGTAGGCGCAGCGTTATCGGATGAGGTTCCAACTATAACAGCACGAGCTTGCTGCTGTAACAGCGCCAAAAGCGCTTGCAGCTGGTGCGCAGTCAAGGCGGGGACGGCGGTGGTTGGCACGGGGTCAGCGGCAGGCGCATGCTGGGTGGTGGGGCCCGCCTAGCCTACAGGCGACGCGACTCGGGCTGGCGCGTGGTCTTCCGTTGACTGCACGCACAGCTGCTTTGCAGCGCGCGTGTTTCTTCTGGTCTGGAGCAGCATGACTGCCGCCGAGCAGAATCTCGACTGCCGAGGGGCCCTCGCTGAAATTGTCCTCGGCAGGATGTTTCTGGCGACGGTCGGCTCCCCCAGGCGAAGTTTCGATCGCCTGAAACTGGAACTAGAAATGAAGAGCGTGGGTGAGGCCGAGTGCCTCACATCCCTCTTTTATAGGCAAAAGAGGGTGAGTAGCGCTGTCTTTGCTGCGTTGGCCCTCGCTACACTTTCACAATACACATTTTTTAGAAAGCGTTACACGCGTAAAAAATTTTACATATGTATGGTGTTGAGTGAAAACAATATCTATGGATCTGATATCTTGTTAGCTTACATCTTCCCGAAACAAACTTTGATATGGGTTCACCCATACCACTATAATCACATATTGTTCCCATAACCATTTTGTAGACTTGAAATTGGCGTGTAACAACCAAACCCTATAAATTGGTGTGTAGGGGGTGTCCGAAGTAGTGCTGTAAGGTTTCCGGATGTCGCGGGATTGAGAGAGCATTCTATCCAACCGTACTAAAAACTTCAGCTACCGTACTGTGCCTTCTTGTGACGTCCTGGGACGCCACAAATTGTATTAGTTCGGACACCCCAGTCGCCAATTCCACCTGCAGAGAACAAATTGGAGCTCGAGTAGCAAGCACGGCTATAGGTCATCATTCCACATGGCGCATACATGAAGTGAACTCCCAATACATAGCCCTCATATTCCTGGGAGGGAGCGCCTTATTGCGTTTTAGGAACATTTCTATTCCCTCAGCTCCGGTGCTGGACTGTCACCTCAGTTCGGCCTTCCCGCCTTCGCCAACCGCAGCACCGCTTATTCCCATGAGTAGCTTCGCTCTGCTCTACCGCAGCTCAAGTCGACTGCTTCGGCCTCACTAAACGTCGCCAATACCTTTCGTCTCACACTCACTAAAAGAACCCCCCCCAGCCGTATTTCCTCTGAGTCGCGCACTTGTTCTTCTGCCGGTCCCAGTTCTGCTGGATCAGAAACCGCATGCCCCTTCATCCCCACGAGATTGTACAGGTACTCGTTACCACTGTTGTCGCGACCCGTTTTCGTCGGTCCAGCATTGTACGAGCACTTGTCTGCGTTCTCTTCCCCGTTGCCATCGTACCAGCCTGACCTTGCGTCAGGGTCGCTTGCTGCCTCTGCGATTTCGTGGGCGATGGTGGAAACCGTCGCATCGATCGCAGGGTTCCCATTGGGCGACGTGTTCTGAGCCCCGCAACCATCCGGGCACTGCCCGTGGTGACCCACTAACGAATATATGACCGCGTTTGATCCGATATAGTCCATGGTGTGATACCCGCAGTACACTTTGCAGTAATCGGGAACTGTAACATCCGGGCTCGTAAGCAGCAAGTAGATTCCATGCGGGTCGTACGAAAACGCATTTCCTTCGCCAATCTTGCTTGAAATAACTGCAAGATAGATGCAAGAATACGGCATTTGGTAGTAAGTCTTTATAGTTTCCACAGCCCGGCGTGAAAGGGAGACCACACAGCATCCATCACCAGAAATCTGGGTATCTGATTCAGTGCTGGCTGGCTTACCTTCCCACACCGTATTGTTGCCAAATTCCTGGCCGGCCGAGTAGTCGTCGTAGACAGTCCCCGCTAGTCGCACCTGGGTTCATGAATTGAAAGGCAGAATGAGCGACTCAGACACGCGCAGACTCATCACTTAGAAGCAATATTGTTCGTCCATTAACCTCGTTTCAATCGCACAGTTATCACAAGATTTGATAGAATACAAACATCATAGAGTACCGATCCACGCAGCATCATCGCTCAGTAGCTCACAGCCACGCGTATTCAGCAAGCTTACCTTCCATGGCTCAATCGCTCTTACAACCGGGGCGTACCTTGCTGCTGACGTTTGTCCTCCCACCTTCCGCATCCTGGTAAAGCGCCGCGTTGACTGCCCACCAGAGCTTCACCTTGGACTCAGCACAAGAGTTTCCTTCACAATCCCCCATCACCCGCACTGCGGCACTCACCGTGCTGCTGACTTTCGCCTTTCTGCCGTTCTTCTGCTGGTAGTACGCCGCGCTGATCGCCCACCAGCGCTTCACCTTGGGCTCCGACGGCTTTCCCTGCCCCGTCGAGCCCGCGTTCAGCGAGCGGATAAAGTTCTCAATCACATTCTGCCCCGATCCCGCCGGCCAGTCGCCATAGTAGATTATGTACACGTTCACGCTGCCGGTAATCACTGGTCCGCCCTGGTACTTGATTGGCGCGGTTGACGAGGCGCCGCCTCCATTGCTTCCCGCCTCGCTCTTTTCGCGCTGCTCTTCCTCGTGATGCACCTTCGTTTCGAACATGTGCAGCGGCGGGCGCGATCCGCGGTCAATGATGTCGGTTAGCCGGCGCTGGCGGCGGTAGGCGGCAAGCGCCGGTCGCGTGCGCGCGATGCGCTTAGGCGGACCGGCGGATGCGAGGGGCAGCGAAAGGGAGACGAGGACGAGGGAGAGAGCGAGAAGCAGGAATACGAGGCTGGAGGATGTCGCCATGGGACGTCTGAAATTGAACGATTTCGCTGGGAAAGCGTTTCAACAAGAGAGTGTAAAACGGCTAAGAAGCCTGGATGCGAAAGCGGCTGTAGTGGGTGGCAGCGGTTGGAGAGAGCTGTACTCGTCTGCAAAAACGGGGGTGGAATCTATCTTGCCAGTTTTTAGGAGACGCGCGGTCGGTGAAAAGACAACAGGAGTCACCTGACCGAGCTAGAACGGATGCTCCTGCTAAGCAAGAAGGCTGCTATATGCTGGGAAGTCCAGTGGTTGCTCCTTGGGGTATCTAGATCTTGTGTCTAGATGGCGCGGGAACTGGAGCAACCGAGTCGCGAATGCCGACGTCGCTGGCCCCCTTTCATAATTATTTGATCTGGATGGAATGTCCAATAATCTCGCGACTCGGTTTGGTGTTGAAATTCGACTGCTGCAGATTACCCATTTTGAAAGGGATATATCTAATGAAATGTTATATTTCTTCCTCTTGTAATGAAGCGCAAAGAGCGTGATTGATCAACGAGGACACCATACTGTCAATATATATTTGTATATGTTTATAGGCTAGATAAGTGCATGCTCTTAGGGAGTACAGCACCATAGCACAAAACCATGTATGCCTCATTCTAATCATTGTGTTATTCTGAGAAGGTATCACGCTAGGTTAGGTCCCCCTCCCCGCTTACGTTTCCACCCCTAGCCCTAGCCCTAGCCCTAGCCGCGCCCGTGCCCTAGCCCTAGCCGTGTCGCGCCGCGCCCGAGCTGCGCCCGCGCACTAGCCTTAGCTGCGCACGAGCCGCGCTCGCGCCGTCCGCGCCATCCGTGCCACGCTGCGCCGGTGCCGCCCGCGCCATCCGGGCCGTTTGCGCCCTCCTCTTTGCCCGCACCGTCCGCGCCCGAGCCAGCCCCACTAGTCCGCGCCGGCCCCGCCACTTCGCTCCGGCCCCACTAGTTCATGCCGGCCCCGCTAGTCCACGCCGGCTCCGTCCCTTCGCGCCGGCCCCCGTAACTCCATGCCGGCCCCGTAATCAACTTATACATATGATTATATGTAGAAATTATAGGCTAGATAGGTTTGTATCTATAGAGGGTACAACCCCAACCCTATATCCTCTCTTGCACAGCATAGCATGTGAGGGATATGGCAGAGATGGTTGCTTGGTGATTGAGCGCGTGAACAAGATAGAGTGCCAAGGTCGTGTTCGTGGCTGGCAGATAACCGAGCCTGAATTGTGCGCAGAATGAGCGAAATTTCTGCCAGTACGGGTCATAGGGTTTGATAGTAGAGGGCGCCTGGATGTGGGTGGTTATGCAAAGTAATTGTATCTTTAACTTTGACAGCATGCCCAAAAGTATACACCATACATGGAAGAGTTACATATTGTAGATTACATGCAAGGCAGTCATCTGGCTATGAGGCAGGCCTTTGGCCTGCGAAAGCGAGTGAGTGTGTGCCAAGGCGGAGGCATTGGGTGCCGTGGGTGAGTGGGATATGGGCTACAATCTCCGGCACCCATACACGGGGTGCTAGCTGGAGGAGTGGCCACCATGATGCGCTGGGCCATTCGGGGATGACTAATGTTAGCTGAGCATGTGAGCGTTGGGCGTGTCGCAGGGTGGCTGGAATGAGGTGGGGCGGAGGAAATGCGAAGCCGTGCTCGTGCTGCCAATTGAGTGAGAAAGTGTCAATCGCTGTTGCCTCAGGATGGGGGATCTTGGAACAGAACCGCTGCAGCTGGGCATTGCGTACGTTGGCAAAAAGATTGATGGAGTGAGGCCCAAGTTGACGATCCAAGAGCTGGAACCAATGGGTGTGAAGTGAGTAGTCATCGTAGTCTTGGACTTTCGATAGCTCATCCGTGTGGGCATTCAATTCTCTTGGAATCCATTCGACAGCGAGTCGTGTTTGGTTCTCCAAGCACAGTCTGATGAACGCTTGACATAGCAGCGTGAGTGAGGGGTGGCGTGAGCCGCCCTTGCGAAGGATGAACACCACCCCTTGGTTTTCGATGCGAATCAGCACGTGACGCTTGATGAGGTGGGCGGTGAATGTCCGGAGTGCTCAAAGGATGCCTTCGAGTTCCCTTCGAGTGCTGGAGGTGGGGACGAGGTCTTCTGGCATGAGATAGCTGGCCTCGTTGTGTGTGCCAGGGAGTTGAGTGAGGGTGGCACCCCAACTGTGGGCACTTGCATCCACGTGGATGACAGCATCGCATTGGTGACTGAGATGGAATGGGGCGCCATTGAATTGGTCGAACTGCGAAACCCAGAAGCGTAGCTCTGTTAATGCGGCCAAGGGTAGTTGGGCTTTGTCATGCCAAGACATGGCATCAGCGATGAGTCGCAAGAGCTCATGACTGAAGGCTCGTGCTGTGGCGCCCAATGCTAGGGTCATGGAGGCCAACATGTCGGTGACTCGCGCAAGGGAGCGGATGGGGACTCGTCGTCCTGCTTGGCCCTAGGTGATGATGTCGGTGAGTGTGGCCAGGAGCTGAGCTTGTCTTTCATGACTGATGGAGAATGTGCCGCGAGTTGCGTCGACCTCCAGGCCGAGGAAATGGATCAGTCGCGTGGGGTGGAGATGCGATTTTTTCCCATTGATAACAAAACCAGCCGCCTTTAGGTCTTGGGTAACTGCGGCGCATGCTGAGCGCGCGTGCGTTTGAGAGTTGCAAAGGAATACAAGGTCGTCGACATACGGGACGACGCGTAGGCCACTAGCCCTCCACCGCTTTGCCAACTGTTTGATCAGCTGGGTTAAAATGAACAGGGCCGTGGCGAGACCAAACGGCAGCGATCGGAAGGAGTAGTACGCGCCCTCAAATTGGAAGCCCAAATACTTTCAGTAGGAGGGGAGCATCTTGACGTGGTGATAGCCGGACTTCAGGTCAATGGAGAACATCCTGTCGCTGGGACGGATGATTTCGGCTATCCAGTTCAAGCCTTCATACTTGAACTTTGGAATTTCAAGGTGGGCGTTGACTTTGAGAAGGTCGAGAATGAGGCGGCATTTGTTGCGCTGCTCGACGACATTCAGAGGACTAACGCAGGTTATCATGTCTCGTGTAGGGATTGGCATGGCAGAGCCAGTGGCAACAAGTTCTTGAATTGCTTCGCAAGTGAAGTCGAGATGCGTGTGAACGCCGGCATGGCTCTTATCGTCAAAGTAGGGTGGGGCTGTGTGCTTCCAGGGCAGCCAATACCCTTCGGCAATTATAGATATGTTGAAACTGCTATCGCACCACGAGCACCACCAATGTAGGGCCTGGCGCAGTCGGCTTTGCATGATCGTGACGTCCTTGTCTGTGGCGGCGCATTCGTAGGGGTCGTGTCCGTCGTGTGGCCATCCGTGTTTGGGTCCTGCCCCGTTCAGGGTCAAGAGGGGCGATGGGCATTGCAATGAGGTGTTGGTGCCAATCGGGCAGCCCATGATCGTTTATTGCCTACCACATGGCTGGGCCAACGCCTTATCTTGGGAGACGCTTCCGCATGTCCTTCCCAATGTGTGCTCTTCCTCATCATGCTCTTTTTCTCCTCTCCATCTTACCCCCTCTCTCTCTCTTTCTCTTACACACACCTCTTTTCTCTCTCTCTCTCCCCCTTCTTTCTCTTCTCTCTCTCTCTCTCACTCTCTCTCTCTCTCTCTCTCTCTCTCTCTCTCTCTCTCTCTCTCTCTCTCTCTCTCTCTATCTCTCTCTCTCTCTCTCTCTCTCTCTCTCTCTCTCTCTCTCTCTCTCTCTCTCTCTCACTCTCTCTTTCTATCTCTCTCTCTCTCTCTCTCTCTCTCTCTCTCTCTCTCTCTCTCTCTCTCTCTCTCTCTCTCTCTCTCTCTCTCTCCCTCCCTGTTTCTCTCTCTCTCTCTCTCTCTCTCTCTCTCTCTCTCTCTCTCTCTCTCTCTCTCTCTCTCTCTCTCTCTCTCTCTCTCTCTCTATCTCTATCTCTCTCTCTCTCCCCCTCCCTCCCTCTCACTCTCTCTCTCGAACTCTCTATCTCTACCCCCCCCCTCTCTCTCTCTCCCACTCTCTCACTCTCTCTCTCCCTCTCTCTCTCTCTCTCTCTCTCTCCCTCTCTATCTCTCTCTCTTTCTATCTCTCTCTCTCTCTCTCTCTCTCTCTCTATCTCTCTCTCTCTCTCTCTCTCTCTCTCTCTCTCTCTCTCTCTCTCTCTCTCTCTCTCTCTCTCTCTCTCTCTCTCTCTCTCTCTCTCTCTCTCCCCCTTTCTCCCTTCCTTCGCAGCTCCTTCTTTCTTGCCATCATGCTTTTGTGCCATGTCCTTGGTGGGCTTGATCGTGGCCGCCCATTTTCTTGGGTGCCATACTGTGGTATGTTTGTGGGTCCCCACCTCTCTGCTCTCTCATACTCTCTCTCTATTCGTGGTATGTTTTCAACTAGAAAACAACTTGCCGTGGCGACACACAAACGCAATTACATACAGTGGCAGAAACAATTGTCCGAATGTTTTGCATAAATTTGGGTTTTTAGGTTTTAAGACCACTATACATTAAGCCTTAGTGTTAAATGGTCGTACGATTTTGGAGGGGCACATAGTGGATGTGTTCATACCTCAAATATCCAGAATATTACATTGGATCTAACTCATTTCCCAAAAGATATACCAGGGGTACATCTGGACAAATAGTTCCATGCAGAGAGAGCAAACTTCAAAAGTGTGTTTCTAGTTCCTAGCCCACCGACCTTTGGCCTTGATCACCGCCCACACCCTCCTAGACGAGCTGTCAATGAGGCTAGAGTAAACCTCAGCATGGATGTTCTCCCATTCTTCTTGGACCAGCTCTTAAAGCTCCACCATTCCAAAGGAAGGCCTTTTATGCTTGGCTAGCTCCCTTTTCAGGTAAGCCCAGAGGTTGACCCTAGCGCAGCCCTAGCCCGCTAGGTTTCCTTGCCTTGCTTGAAGGCTGGCCACCGGCCACGCACCCACCGGTGCGGCCCCATATGCCATTTGCATATGGGCAAAGAGCGCCGCCCTTGAAGAAAAAACGCTCACATGACCGGTGAGGGGCCTTGCGCACCACACTCACCCATGGGGCATGCGTTTGCCATGTGGCCCAGCAAGCCGCAGTGGAAACATACGCCCTTGAAACGCGCTTGCAAGCATGTCAGAGGGGGAGAGCCCTTGATATCCATTTCCCCGTCACGACCGCGGGGGGGACCGCCGCGGGTGTAACCGGTGCGCACTCGCTTGAGTGCCGCGACATCAGCGACCACGAGCTTGAAGGAGCATGAATTCAAGACACTCTTGGACTGGTAGAGCTAAAAACGGTCGGCCGCTTCGAAGCCAGCTTCATCCGCCACTTGAAGCACCTTGAAACGCTTGTCGATAAGCATTTCAATGTGTTTGATATTGTTGAGCGCGTCGATGACGTCGTCGTGCTGCAGCTTGTAATCGATGTGCTTGAGGTGTGCTTGGATGGCGGTGAATACCTCTGCCTGATCTCGTATGCCCTTGCGCATGAAGGTGGTTGGGGCGGGCGAGGGGGAGAAGAGGGGTTACGGGAGCAATAATGCTGTGGCGAGAAATGTTTACCGAAGCCTCACCAACTTCATTGTCGGAGTCGTCGCTGTCTTCGATGTTGATGGCGGGCATCGGGAGCATCTCTGAGGGCTCAATAGTCCCGAGGGTGATGGGGTCAAAATTGGTTCGGGGCAACTCGGGATGAGGTTGGGGCTGAAAAGGTTGACAGGGGCTGGTTTGGCGCGTGACTTGAAGGCCGAGCCTGCGGACGGGAACTGTTCGCATGTACTCGCAATGGCAAGCCCCAGTAGGGAATCGTAATTCCTTACACTCTCCCACCTTCTAAAGGAAGGCACTCCCTTTATCAAGGTCGAACACTCATTAAATTAATCCCTGATGTGACTGTAAGTCTTCAGCCCTGTGACAAGCTTAATGATTACGCCGGCCTGACGAGATCTTCAGGTCGAATTGAAATCGATGGTCAGAAAGTGTCGAAACGATCGCGGTCGATCATGATCGTTGAACCTTGATGAGCGCAATGATGACGAGACTTTGTGGGGTAAAACTTCATCCAACGGCTGAGGCATGTCGCAGCGAATGTAATCGATCTGAGTCCTTGAAGATTATCGACTTCTTCAGCTGACCGAACGGGTACTGGCAAAAACTCCTCTTGGACAGTAAACAGTAACGCTGTTGATTGATGATGGCACGCGGCAGGTGAATATCTTGAAATGATGACTGGCGAATAACGTAATGGTCGATGAAATGAAGAACCCGCTCATCAAACGCGAGGTCGTTCGTGTCACATGCAAAAGCACGCGCCCGTGTCCTACGAAAGTCAGCGAACTCCATCAACAAAGTGACGAAATTAGGCGCGGAAGCGTAACGGTGACAAATGATGCTCGAAGACGGATGATGGAACATGCCGCAAGGTCTGACGGAAAATTGCAGCACAGCCGCACTTCTCCCCCCTCCAAGAAGAAACAGTTCCCAACCACCCAAGTAAAACTCCAAGAAACCCAATGCTCCAGGGTAGTCGAAATAATCCCACACTGCTGCGGAAAGCCCCATCACTCTGCTTCGAAGATACCGTTGAAATAAATCCTAGCCATGAAAAAATGCGAATCAGGATGACTCCAAAATTTGCTCCAGGTAAATTGTCTTCAGGGTAAACCACTTCGAAGTGCTAGAAATTCCGGAACTACTGCTCCAGAAGACTTTCACACGAACTCAAAAAATCTTCAGAAGTCAAACACTGCTTGCGAGCTGGGCCCAATACAGCTCCAACAGTGTTGCTGCCATTTTTTTTGTAAATCCGATACTGTTGTTTTCAATTCGGCTGGCGAGTCGGGGTCGTGTTCACACAGTCGAGCGAATCACGCGAATTGACGATGGAGGCGGTAGCGGGTGATGGCGAGAGGCTGACGATGATGACGATGGAGAGTAACCGATACGAATCCCGCTCCATTGAAAAACCTCGAACAAAACACGGGGTCGAATGATGCCAGCTGCATCAGCTTCTTTGTCTCTACACGCCGAAAAAATCGGGTAGAGACGGAAACAGCTGCTACTCTCCTTCCCCTCCATGCGACCAAAATATTCCGATAATCTTGGCTGATGTAGCTCGTACCCCTGAAGATAGCGGGCACAACTCCAGCTGTAAGTCCATGATCCGCTCCAGCGAAAATGTCGGAACCACACGGTACTTTGCAAAATTACGGTATTTGCAAAGTACCGTAACCCATAAAACAATCAGGCATTACGACGCCCTTTAGCAGCGCCCCCACGGTTTCTCCACCAGCTCTACGCATGAACGACACCCTTTATATTAGGGAACACCGGAGTCCACCACCTCGGCATGAAGTTTTGGCCGTCGATCGGGGACAGCGCGCATCATACGCCGTCGATTTCCACCCCGCTGTTACCCAAATCTATACATTCTCCGGTACCCCTGTCCAGCTAGCCGTGCAGACGTTCACCCATCTTGTGGCTGCTACAGGTTACCCAAAACCACTTCGCTGCTACTTAACTAACTAGGAGAATCCGTAGAGATAGGAGTGCGCACGCTTCTAGTCAGAGGAGCTTTAACGAGCTCGCCTGCTGACCGCTGGACAACTCCCTTCTCCGTCGGAAACTCGTCAAACTACACCCGCAAAAGTCGGAACCTCCTTCTGCTACACTAGGTGAAAACCGTCAGCTTCACTGCAACAGTAACTCCTAAAATTTTGGGGACACTCCATCAGCAGTGTGTAGTTTGCAGGTTCACCCCCGTTATTCAGCCAGAATCCGTCGATTAATAAGTCGACACTGCTACCTGGTGGGAATGGTGATTTCCGGGCGACGTAGCTGAGCGAGTAGCAGCCCGAACGCCGCTAGCCCATCTGCTCCAGTACTCCCGTCATTCTTCTCCCACTGCTTCAGCTCATGACAGTTAACGCATTCGGGGACCGATAGAAATACACTTAATACACACCCAGGGGTGGTGGCTTCCGTTTCCGTTGATCGTGGGGGTATGAATCGCTGGTCCACAAAAAACGCCTCCCCACGCGGGAAGTCGCCCTCGCTGAGTACACTCACTCCAGCACAGCATCATCACCTTCAGATGGCCGTCGTGGTGAATAGCACCAAGGTCGTTAATCCCATCTGCTCCCACACAACTGCACACCCACACGTCCTCGTGCGATCGTGTCGTTCCGAAATTGTCGGATCCACCCATTGCCGAAATAGTGTTGAAGTCATGTCCATCATCTGCAACTAGCCTGCTGAAAACGCCGGTACCCGCGACACAGCTACAGTTCACCCTGCAGCTTCATGGCACGTCCCACCATTATCGCCCCCCCGCGCGCTCCTGACGACCAACTCCCGGCCGCCTGAGGACTCCTGTGCACTTGTCTCCTCGTGACAAAGCCTTTGCTTTTTTCGGAAGCCAATCCGAAGACTCCGTCCAAACACCCGAAAATTACGAAAGCTCTGACGAAAATACCCGAAGAACACGCCGAAAACGTCGCCCAATCTTCGACGGGAAATAATTCCATCTACACCCAGGGAAGGGGAGGACCGGCCAATCCCAGCCGTCCATCGGACAGGATCTGATGGCATCGGAGATGCACACGCAATTAATCTACGTGTCTTCCACTCGCCATCAGCATCCTTCCGTCCCCTTCCCTAATAGGGTCTGCTCCCCTATCGAAAACCTAATGGGCAAGAACGTAGCTCTGATACCAGCTGTTATGAATTATAACTCAGAGTATAGCGCAGAATACTATAGGGGAACGTTATTACAATGTTGTACATAATAATGAGGCCTAGGCAATATATAGGTGTGTTGACCTAGTTGAATGTCGAGGGTTGGACCAGTCAAGGGCTTGATAGTCCCCAGGGTGATCCCCCCCAAAAGGACCCAATGGGTTCTCAATAAAACAAGTCCTATATCCGGGCGCTTAAGGTAGTCTGACCATAGAGACAAGAGGCCACAAGGACAGTTAGTAGGTGTAGCAAGACATGCATGTCAATGTATATATATATGTATACATACATGTATATACAGTATGTGTGTGTGTGTAGGCTAGGTAGGTGTATTGTAAAGTTTTTGGTTCCTACTGTAAAGAGGACAACCCTCTTCTTGTACCTCTCTCTCTTGTCTACTCAAACCCCTCTCTTCTCTCTCTATTCTTTCTCCTACCTAGCTAAAACCCTCTCCTAACATGGCATCAGAGCAGGTTGATCCTGCTGAGCCTTCTTCTCATACTTCCGCAGCGTACTCTCTCCCCTCCTCTCACTTCTGCGCCGACGTGGCGGCC